TGTCCCGTCTGTCCTGAAGGGGGCGCCGGAGCCCAGTCCCCGTGTCCCGTCTGTCCTGAAGGGGGCGCTAAAGGAACAGGTGCACTGGAGACCTGTGAAGTCAGCAGTAATCACCGGAACACAGAGGAGAGAAATAACAGAGGCGTATGAAAATATCTTGTGCGCCTCAGCTCAATAAGCAACAGGCGGAGGGCTTCATGCATTTCTGATATATCTTCTGAGACAGAAATAGGGATGTGCAATAAACCCGTGGGTCTGCAAACCACAAGCGTTCAGGCGTCTGAAAGTCTCAGGCGCATGTGCAGGTCTAAAACTACAGTGTCTAAATTTACACTGTGTGCTGCGCAGCAGGGCTGGTGCGTCTGATAGCAGAGGAAGTCGATGGGCACCGATACCCAGAGTTCACTGGGCAGACCTGGAGTCGCAGGGCTGGCAGGTTCATGTCCGCCTGCAGGCTCTGACAGGGAGCGTCTTGTGTGGGGGGCATTGGGGCTCTTCCACATGCTCACCATGTCCGCTGCTCGAGCCTGGCCTGGGCCAGCCCCCCTGAGGAGGCACAGGGCCTGCTGTCCCTCGTCAGCTTGACACTCGCCCTCACCTCAGTGATGTGTCTGGGAGGAGCCCCCAGGCGCCCATGCCTACATGACAGAACCATTCAAACCAGATCTAGAAGCTGCTACAAACTGATATCATGGTGATTCGTGCAAGCAAGCAGGCTGGGGATTACACAGTTTTTACAGGACTGTGTAAATTGCTCAGGAAAGACAAGAGGAGGAGGAGTGACATTGAATGCTGGAGAAAGTTCACGCAGAGCCTGCCCTGAATCCCAGTGACATTGGCTTCAGGTGCTCAGGGCCTGACCAGAGACCAGTCCTTCAGGCCAGTGGGGTCAGACCCATAAACACTAGCTTCACCTGCCCTCTGATGGACACAGTTCATAATGCTCTTATTTACACATTTTATTTTCTCAACCATAATGTTAATGAGTGTCTTGTTTCCTCCAGAGTGAAGGAGCAGGTCTGGGAGACACTGGGCCAGCTAGTAGAAATCTTCACAGTGGATGAATGGATCTATGAGAAATCCTAGCGATGTTAAACCTGCAAAGACAGCTCACATGCCAATAGAACAATACACACAGCCTGTAGAAGAAACTGGAAATACTCGTCTGTCCATTTCACATGAGATGATATAAAATTGCAGGAGGGGGAAGGTGATCCAATTAGGCGGCAGCTTGAATCCTGACCAGGTCTAGTGCAAGTGATCACATTACTCCTGTCCTGGAGTCCTTGCACTGGCTTCCTGTCAAGTTTTGCATCGACTTTAAAATCCTCATGCTCACCTACAAGGCTCTGCATGGCTGGGCACCTTAGTACCTGTCTGAGCTGTTATCGTCCTGCTCCCCACCTTGCAGTAACAGGAGAGCACCATCCCCAGTGAGCTCCCCTGCTCACAGACCCCGTCTCTCTCTCTCCACAGGAATAGGGAGACCATCATTCCCAGTGAGCTCCCTCTGGCCCAGGAGATCACCTGCACGCTTAGAGAGTGGGCAGCCAACTGGAAACAGAGCTACCTGGTCAGTCTGGATGCCTGCTGTGTGTCTGACCTGCTGTCTGTGTGCTGTATTTCCAAGGGACACAGAGGGTGGGCAGACTTATTTTTTAATTTAGTCCTCCTGCGCATCCTCACAGTGTGCCATGTCTGTGGATGAAACATTAAACTGAAACTGAAACAGAAGGGTGGTCAGTACAGATCTCAGGACACAGCCTGTAAGAGTAGGGGTGTCCAGACTACTAGTCAGTACAGATGTTCTCAATCTGGTGAAGACCAGACTCCACACACTGGGAGACAGAGTATTCTCCTGTGCTGAAGACCAGACTCTACACACTGGGAGACAGAGTATTCTCCTGTGCTGAAGACCAGACTCCACACACTGGGAGACAG